AAAGAGAAGCACTCTCCTCAGAGTCTAGTTGCACTGCAGTCCCCTTCCTCCAGCGCCCAGCCTGCCAGATCTTGGCACTCATGCATGTGCCCATTGTGTTGCAGGTGAATTGGGCCAGGGATCTGAATCCTGGTTGCCCTGTGGGATCCAAATTATCTTGAGCAGCATATTGCTACTGTGCCATAGAGTTGACCCCGCTTCAGGATTTTTGTGAGCTAGTTGATAATCATGTCAAAAGCTTGAAATAGGCTGTGATAAGAATATTTACACCATGGGAATTGGCAAGTGCTACAGATTGGCTCCCCATCCCCAGAGAGCCAGTTGTCACATGTCTCGCTTGTTTGCTGTACTTACTCATCACAACTACCTACCAACATGATAGGTATTACTGTCCCCAGTTTTGAAATGAAGAAACAAATGAAAAAGAAAAAAAAAAACCAAAACCTTGGGCTTTAGGGAGAAATTACAGGGAGGCAAAAAACGTCCAAAGCAGAAAGAAACTGCCAAAGCAGGAATAGGTAAAAGACAGTGCTGACCCTGAGGGCTATGTACAAAGAGCCTATTGAGAAGGCAACGAGCTAATGTAAGGGACCTGCCAAGTGAGGCCCATAAGGCTCCTAAGGCTATGAGAATAATTTGAGGAAGAGCTAAGGGACCAAACAGAAAAGCCCTAAAGACTGCTCTACTGTTTTCCAACCCCTGCCTCTCCCTATCTTGGTTGGATGAATCTCAATCAAAAGCAAGAAATTCCATTCCTCCCAAGGAGGAAGGGTTTGCTCAAACTTCAAGACAGGAATTGGGTCATACAACCCAGGAGGCAAGGCTTTCAGTGAAGTTAAAAAGTCACCACATACGGGTACGTTCATTTTCCTTCAGATTTACTTTGTAGCCGTGAATGGAATGAAAAAGGTCACCGGCTGTCTCTAGCAGCCCTAGTCACCTGCCTCCCTCTCATGGCACCCCCTTTTTCTTTCGGGAGTTTGACCAAAGTCACGGGTCCCGGCCCAAAAAAAGTCCAAGGTAGGCACCATCACAAGTCACAGCCACAGAGCAGCCAAGAGAGAGTCTGGCATGTTCTGAATTTGCTCTTGGAGCCAATAATGAAGTATTACTGTACCCATTGTGTCCCATCACCTGCTTCCCTCAGGAACCTTGAGGAGAGGGGCACTGCGGGCTGGGCCAGCCAAGGTAAGCCTGGGTCCACGGCACTGTGTGCTATTTTCCCAGAGATCAAGGGAGTGAAGAAGGCATACAGTTCACAAGAAATTGCGGGTTGAACAAGAGCTAGTCGCTACAGGGCCTGTGTTTCCTCCATGCAGCGCTTCGTGTGGCACAGGGCTAGGACACGAGATCTCATGGGAAACTCTCTTGCTGAGGCCCTAGAGAGAGGCGGACTCAGCCGACCTTCCTTCACCTGCTGATCTGTCTTCCGAAACGGGAGAGAGTGTGAAGGTAGACAAAGCCTTTGTTTCTTCAAATGATATGGTGAATGAATAAACGAGGAAATGTACATGTACTGCTTAAGTAGCTAATTTTGTGATATACTACTAAACTATAAGAATAATGTTGGGTTTCCAGGACCAAAATAATGGGATTTGAATAATGAGCAGATCAAGGGGTACCTCTATTGCCTCTGTGCAAACACAAGGCGACTTCAAAAAGTTCATAGAAAATACGTATTATGAAAAAAACTACACATGGATTTGAAAATGTATTGTACTACGATAAACTTGTACTTCATTTCCATTTCTCTGCAGATTTTGTGAAGTCTCCTCATAATTTATCTTATCCCGGACTAGTTAAGGAAAGAGTACATTTGAAGCTAGGACTCAAATAATCCTTCAGTTTTTCAAAATAGAACAAGACTAATGCCACGTCAATGTTTCTTTGGGATTTCCTGAGTTTCATATACATATATATATATATATATATATATATGTATATACACATATACACACACACACATATATAACATTTATACATAAGTGTGTGCATATTACATGACATTTATATTGACATATGTGTGTGGATGGACGGATGGAGAGAGAGCGAGAGAGATTTGGGGCTTGTGCACACAGATGGTTGGCATGTCTTTCAAGTCACCAGGACAGAGATCTGAACTACGGCTGGGCCACGTGAGATCTAGCTTCTTATGCACAGGGCTTACCTGCTGCTCTATCGGACTGGCCACTTCTTAAATGTGTTTATAGAAGAAAACCCTGAGCCAAGTGATCGAACTGCTGCTTCTGCTTCTGGCATTTGAGAAGCCTCCTATGGGAAACTCTAATGGGTACCTACCCACAGTGAACCCCCTTCCTTCTTCCTTGTTGATAGAAGCCTGGTTTTGCCCAGGTAGAGGGAAGTGCACTCAGGAAAGATTCCCCAAGGGATGAATAAAAATTAGTCTAGGACTAGCTGTTGGTATAATGGGTATGTCACTAGACTCCCATATAGTTGACTGCGGTTCGAGTCACAGACTCGGTGACTTAAACTCATGTCAGACACATGTGTGTGCGTGCTCAAGATCCCGAAAGGAGAATGGAGGAGAAGGGATTGCGGCATGACCATCCCCCCTTGGGGGGTGATTTCTTGCTTTCTGTCTCTCTGTCTTTCTGGCGAGTACAAGTGCCCTATAGCAAAAATCTCTCAAAACAAAAAACAAAAAAACAAATTAGTCTAATCCAACCATGTAAATCCATTTCCTTTTATCATAGATTGGTTTAGAAGTGTGCATTTCATCAAGTTTGACTGACAAGATCTGGTAAAATGTCTGTTGGTGCTTTTGCAAAATGGGAGAGAGATGTGTGCAAGAGAAACTTCAAGATTTCTTTTCTGCTTTGGCTCTGCATGTGAAAATATAAAGTGTGATGCAGTAGCTGTCATCTTAGCACCACGAGAAGACCGTGAAGATAATGGAGAAGCTGATCCCAAGTTCTCCTTCGTGGTTAAGCCAAAAAATCCATTCCAAATTATTTACTGCAAGATTTACTATTATGTGAGAGAAAAAGAAATCCTATTATTTAAACCTTTTAGACATGTCTATAACTACAACTTGCAACCAAAATCACCCTAACCGGTATACCTCATCCTTTCATAAACTTACCCCAAACTTTCCTTGGAGTGGTGGCAAGAAAATCCCATTGAAGGCGCACTGAGAGTAAGGGCAGTGACTGGTATCGAAGAGCCCAAGGATGCTTTGCTGGCATTGTTCATAGTCTCCAGTACCCAGGATGTGAAACTTACTGAACGGAAGAGTCTTCTTGAATTTCTTGGTGCAGGGAGTGCTGAAAAGCTCACTTACGTTCATCACTTTCTCATAGCCAGGGTGAAAGCACGGGTCCCTGAGGGTTCCATCTTTTGTTTCCTGAACAGAAAAATCATTTGAAGGCATCACGTAGGAATGTGTGGGCTACAAGGCACCATCTCTCTTTATCACTGTGCAGGCATTGCACAGCATTCCCGTGCCCAGGGATGGATCAGTGCCCTGCCCTTTTCACCCTCGGGAATTAACAAAACAAAACAAAAGAGTAAATGCTAGAGGTGGTATCTGATGTAAATGTATTTGACTATTCATAGAATGCTGATGTTGTTCAACTTGGGCCACAGTGCCATTGGTTTTAATATCCCTGAAGGGACCAGCAGATGACATAATGGTTCCGTCACTGGACTCCCACGGAGTCCACCAGTTCGAATCCCGGATCTGGCAGCTTGAAACTCATTCCAGGCACATGTGCATGGGTGAGTGCCCCAAATCCTGAGACTAGAGGAAAAGGGACTGTGGCATGGCCATTCCCCCATGGGATGATTTCTTGCTTTCCGTCTCCCTGTCTCTCCAGGGAGCGTGCATGCTCCCTGTAGCAAAAATCTCTTTTGTAAAAAAAAAAAAAAAAAGGCTGAATATCCCTGAAGGCTTAGTCCTACTCACATAGTTCAAGAATAGCTTCACCTGGAAAACTCCCAAGGTTCTTAAAAGTTTGAGCCTGGGGGGAGTTCTCCAGGAGCCTTCTGCCTCCCCTGTTTAAACCCCCACCCCCAGTGTCACTTCAGAGAATCAGAAGCTCCAAGAGCTGGAAAAGGCCTTAGGTTATTTAAGACAGTAGGAGTTTGAACTCACAACCTACAGGAGAAGAAAAGGGGCTGCCGTGGGTAAGCAGCTGGCAGAGCTCTGAAGCTCAGCATCTGCTCTCAGCAGGCCCTACTCCCAGGTGATAGTCCTATTGGCAGTGGTTTTGAGAACCACAGAATGTGCCTTGGAGATGAGCAGAGAACTGGTCTCTGGTCCTCCAGTGGAGACAGGAGCAGCTGGCTATGACACCCTCGCTCCGTGTTTATCTGTCAGGGTGTGCCTGGTACTCACATGGTGTTGAGCATGTCTAGCTTTTCTTGCCTTCGAAATGCAGAAGGCATCTGGGGACAAGGCTTGAAGTGCTGATTAATAAACTGTTTTCTTGGAAGTGGCTTTTTCCCTGCCTCCTTCTCTCCAGGTCATTGCTAACAACCCTTTCTTTTGTAGTTTTTAGGAAAGGAAGCTTAAAAAGTGCTTTAGACAAAACTGTAAATTGAACTTCTCCATCCCCCGGAAAAAAAAAAAAAAAGCACAATACGCTAGCATGTAAATGTCATTATAAGCCCCACAGGGTGAGAAACTACTTCCTAAGAAAGGATTTGCATAGTGGCCTTGGAGATAGTTCCGTAAACAAACATAGGCGATGATGTCTGGGTGGAACAGTCCTTAAGGGTTGACCAGATACAGTTCAGTATCTTGCCTGAAAAGGTTGGGGAAGTGCAATAACCAACTGCAGACCGATTACCAAATCAGAAAGAGAAAACAACAGGATGTGGAGGTTGGAGGCCCAGATGTGGGGAGGGCAGTCTGGATTCAGTTATACAGTACTTGCCAGAACGTCTTTGGCCAGTTTCTGCAAGAGTGCTTGGTCCTTCCCATAACACAAAAAGCTGTGCGTGTATACGTCGTAGTCGTGGCCATAGAGGCGAAACTGCAGAGCGTTGTCTGGGGACTCAATAGTCTTGTTTTGGGGCACAAAAGTGATTTGTGTAGAGGCTCCTCCAAGGTCCAAAGCTCCAAAGGTTCCCTCTTGATGGTTGCCATTTGGAATTAGGCCGACCCAACCTGATGTCTGAAAGAGAATAGAGTCACCAGTGGTACAATTCTCGGGACATCCCGCTTCTCACACTATTTCTTGGTCTGGGGACTTCTTTAGGCAAAGCAGCAGGAGCTTAGGGGTGAGGCAAAGTTCACAGGAAGTTCCAGAGCCTGCATCCAATCAACAGCAAGAGAAAGGGGGCTTCAAAGACCCAGCTCAGATTGCAGCAACACTGAAGTGGTATCACTAAACTAGGGCTTACTAACAAGGGGTCTGGCCAGATAGACTTCAGTTCAAATCCCCTCCCAGGCTCTCATCAGCTGTGAGATCTGGACAGAATCTTAAATATACACTCTAAGTGTCAATCTGGGGCCCCAAGCAGGGGGTACTATAATAATAACAGTACCAAATAACTTTTGTTTGGAGAATGAAATCAGACAGCTCATGAAAAGTGTAAGCATAAGACACATAGCATTAAGCAAATATTAGCTGTATTACTCTTAATTTTTTTTTTACAAAAAGGTTGTTTATTCTACGAGAGAGAGAGAGAGAGCACCCCCAACAGGGTATTTAGGCCTCCTTCCCAGCATCAGCCAGCCTGGATCACAGACACACGCATACCTAGCACTCTCAGGTAGGTTTCTCTAGACATGAACCAGCCACCTTTGCATATGGGTCTGCCTTACAGAGCACTGCGGTTTACTTATGTATGCCAGTCTGGCCCCCGGTTATTCTTATTCTTAGTGATAGAGATTTAATTTCCTCTATATCTCCCCAAGGTGAAGACATGGCTTCCTTATCTCCAATAGAGGAAGTTCTTGTAGAATTACACCTTTGGTGACTCTTACAAATGTGGGAATACATTCACTTATTCTTTCTTTTGGTTTTAAAGAATTATTTTATTTAACTTTATTTATTTTATTTGCCCAGAGAGGGAGAAAGAGAAAGTGAGAAAGCAAATGCTAGTTCCAGGACTCAAACCACGGTTGGCCATGTGGGAGTCCAGCACCCTTAACCACCGTGCCACCTGCCGGCCCCCATTTATTCTTTCATTCACCCATCATTCATTCTGGTTAGCAACCCACATACGGCATTGGCCTCCAGGAAGCTACCACAATAGGTGTGGTGAGTTCACCTGAGTGAATTTGCCCAGCAGGTAGTTGATGGTAATCCAACCATAGGCACCTTCCTCTTGGCCAGTGATGATCCTGGCACCCTGGAAGTCAAAAGGGTACTTGCTGAGGCTCCTTGTTACTTCATCCAGGACCGTATCTGCCGACTCTTCGTTTTCTAACCTACACAAAGGAAGAGCCAAGGTTATTATTTTTGTTTTAATAACTACACCTACTCATTTCATCTCATGCTTCCATGCAATGTTCTATGAACCATACCACACTGGTGATTCATGCTGGTACAAGGAGGTGGGGACGCTACACATAGTTGTCACACAAATCCCCCTTTTAGGTAAGTCAGAACAAATCTTTTGGCCTCCTCTCTCCAAATTCTTTTCATCCTTGCATAGGTTGGTTTTCCTAAAATACCATTTTTATTCTGTTGTTCCCTCACTCAAAACATTATTTCTTTCTTTCTTTTTTTTTTTTTTTTTGGAGAGATTTTCACTATAGGGCGCGTGCGCTCGCCAGACAGACAGAGACATTAGAGACAGAAAGCGAGAAATCACCCCCCAGGGGGATGGTCACGCCACAATCCCTTCTCCTCCATTCTCCTCTCGGGATCTTGGGCACGCACGCACACGCACCCGGCGTGAGTTTTAAGCCCCCGGGTCCGGGGCGCAAACCACGGTCGACTACGTGGGAGTCCAGTGACATAGCCATTACACTAACTGCTGGTTCCCACTCAAAACATTATTGAACGCTCTTAACATTACTGTGGTAGCGATAGCTAGGCACTGTGTGATCAGCACCTAGAGCTGGTATGTGCTGGATTAGCCACTGCGTTATGCACCCAGACTCTACTTGAGCTTTGCAGACACTAGGTGACAAATGACCTGAGACTTACACTTAACCTTCCTTGCTGCCACACTGGGAAAAATCATCCTCACATTATTCAATGGTTCTTAGGTCTACTTGAGACTTTGAGAGTTAAACAAGGAGACTTCCAAAGTTGTCATACAAAAGATGGGCTATGACTGCCTCCAAGATCTAGGATCTACAACACTGACACCCTCTGGGTGAGCGGATGTGACCTTCCATCGGATATTAGATCCCTGAGTTTTTCCACCTGAATGGCTTCCCTACCTACTAACCGATTTCCTTTCATTCCTGTCTTCTCTCCTGTCCAAGGCAGCTTCTCTACCAGTATCGCCAGCTGTGTAATAGATTAGACGGCTTCTCACTGTCTCCAAGATAAACTCGAAACCACCTAGCATGGCCTTCCTGCCACTTTGTGCTCTGCAGTCTGCCTTCTTGGACTCCCACCAGAACTCTGACTTTCCCACTCAGGAGGTATGTGACCTCAGGTGAGTGACCTAACATCTGCACGTCCATTAGAACACAAGCTTTACGGATCCAGGGACTTGTCCTGTTCACTGCTGTATCTGCACCAATCGGAACAGTGTCTGACACTTAACAGGACCTGAAGAAACATTGGTTAATGAATGCATGCTGTCTGCTCTGCCTTCCCCCCCAAACTTGTTCTCTTTGATTTATCTCATGTATCCCTTCCTCTAATAAGTCTTCCTGACCTCCCTGGGCATGGACAAGGGTACTCATATGGTGGCTATGAGCACTCTTCCATTTAAGAATTGATCACCCTGAATCAAAACTCTGATTTCCTTGGGCCAGCCCCATGGCCTGCTGGTTAAGGGAGCCAGATCCCACATGACCAACCACAAGGTTTGAATCTCAGCCCCCATGGCTTGGAAAACACACAGGGTACATGTGTGTTTATGCCCAAAATGCCAATGGAATACAGAAATGTGAGAAAAGGGATTGCAGTGTGCCCGCACTCTGTGGGGGAAGGGGCTTTCTCCCTCTCCCTTCCTGTCTCTCTGCCTCTCTCCCTCTCTCTGGCAAGTGCACATGCCCTCTGGAAAAAAACCCTCTGATTTCCTTGAGGGCCAAGTCAACTACTTCCATATTCTGGACACAGTAGGTATTTTGGACATGCTGAATGAATAAACGAATGCACAAGTAAAGATACAATGCACACAGGTACTAAACAGTGACCAATAATGTGCTAATTGTGACCATTCATGTCTTGGAATGCCTGAGTCTCCTCTAGTCTTTCTACTCCCAGATACTGATACCTAAATCTGTACTGCCACATCCCAGAATATATAGGCTTGGTCTCTTTATTCCTATACCCACACCCTTGAGATTCCCATGGAGCGATGGACAAGAGGACTTTTTTTTAGGTTTTTGTCATAGGGCGTGTGTGTTCACCAGAGACAGAGAGAGGGAAAAATGAGAAAGCACCCCTCAGGGAGGATGGCCATGCTGCAATCCCTTCTCCTCCATTTTCCTCCTGGGATTTTGAGCATGCACGCATACGTGCTTGGTGTGATTTTCAAGCCTTCAGGTCCAGGATTGGAACTGCAGTCAGCCATGTGGGAGTCCAGCGCCTTAACCACCACTCCACCTGCTGGTCCCTAAGAGGACTCTACTGATATATTTAAAATCCTACCATTATATTATAGTGCTAAGAGTTTGGGAGTTTCAGTCACTTGCTGAAATTTCCTTTTGTAAGTATAAACTCTGGGATGTACAGTTTGGGGTTTGTTGGAGAAACGTGGCCCTCCGCCATTCCCTAAGAGGGTTTGTTGGAGAAACGTGGCCCTCCGCCATGTCGGGGCCTCTGGGACTGCCAAGCCTAACTCCGGCACTACACAGCCGCTCTACCTGAGCAAGCGCATGCCTGCTGTGGCGCCCAGGTAAATGGGTGTCACGTGGTGTTGAGACCTTGGGATTACTTCCTGGGCTTTCTTCATGCACTCTTCCAGGTAATCGTCTATCTCATTGACTCTCTCAACATATTTTGAGATTCCAGGACCTATGGAAAGATGAGGATAATAAATTTAAATTTAAAAAAAATGTATAGGATATACCTTGACAATATGAGAGCAAAATACACGATTTTCTAAGAAAACTATTTTCTGATGAGATATGTACTTAGTGGGTAGAAGAGTGGACCTTATCTTGATCTAATTTAATTTACAGATTTAAGGTCGGATCTATCCAGTGTTCAATAATTTTGTCACTAGATGGTACAATTTTCATTTGACTGTATAACAATCTTTTCAGTATTTCTTCCACAGAGTTGTAATTAACAACACTAGTTCCTAAAAGATCTAAATAAAGAGACATTTAGAACAAAAATTCAGCTTAGCACCAGACACATTGGCTTTTACTAAAAAAACGGAAACTGATAACTAGTTGAATTATGCCCAATGCCCTAAAATGTCTGAGGTGGGTTTTTTCTTTATTAGAATAAACAGGAATAGAATCTGTTTTCCTCAGTGACTTTTCTGCTTCAATGACCTGCCTTCCTAGTTAAGACTGTTTTTCCAATTTTAGAGCAGAACTAACTGTTGCTATGGAGAGGATTAGAGCCAAGATTCCTCAAGCTTTTTGAAATTAACATTCGATGCTTTCATCTCACAGTAAGATAAATTATCTGCACTGTTAGAGCTTCACAAGTGTTTGCTTTAAAGATAATTATTCAAATAAGTTATCCTGATTGTTTGCATGTTTTAAACAGCCTTTTTAGCCTAACTCAAATGAGAAAATCAGCTCTAACTTATCAGTTAACTGTTTCAATTCAGAAAATTCAGCCTTAAATGTTTGCTTAACTAAAGAACGGCTCTTTTGAGAGGAGAAAATATTGGATTTGTTAAGCCAAATGCTCATGGGATGAGTCTCAGAAGAAAGACATCTGCTAGATTTAAACCAAACGGAACAACAAAACCCAACATCTAAAAAATGGGAGGCAGTGAATGAAATAAAAGCCAACAAAATTAGGGATATGGGCTTTAAGAAATGCTGGAAGAGGGACCAGCAGTTGGCATAATGGCTATGTTGCTGAACTCCCATGTAGTCGACCGTGGTTTGAGTCCCAAACCCAGTGGCTTAAACTCACACTGGGCGTGTACATGCATGCCTAAGATCCCAAGAGGAGAATGGAGGAGACTGCAGCATGGCCATCTTCCCTGGGGGGAGGGGGGTGATTTCTCGCTTTCTGCCTCTCTGTCTCTCTGGTGAGCACACACGCCTATAGCAAAAACCTCTCCAAAAAAAAAAAAAAAAGAAATGCGGAAGGGACCAGCAAATGGCGTAATAGTTACATTGCTGGACTCCCACAGAGTTGGCTGTGGTTTGAGACTCAGACCTGGCATCTTAAAACATGCCAGGTGCATGTCCAAAAATCCTGAGAGGAGAATGGAGGAGAAGGGATTGTGGCATGGCCATCTCCCTAGGGAGTGATTTCTCGCTTTCTGTCTCTCTGTCTCTCCAGCAAGCGCTAGTTAGAGCAACAGATCCCTCTTTTAAAAAAATGCTGGGAGTACTAAGTATTCTTTTTTCATGGTTTGTTTGTTTATTTGTTTGTTTGTTTATTTAATACATTCGATCACTGTATATCATTACTGCTTGTAAAATGAATTTTCCTAGCATGAATACACTGTGTATTGGTCCAGTTGAAGATACTATCTTACGCGGCCAGGTGGAGAAGTTGGAGCTCAGTGGAGTAGAGAGCACAGAACTGCCAACAACTCTAATGTGTACTGTGACCTTAAAAGAAAACTAACTGGGAAGAAAATCAATAGATAACAGGACAGTTCAGTTCAGGGGAGGCGGGCGTGCCCTTGGAGACCTAGATTCCTGTCCTGGTTCTGCTGCTATTGGCAAGGCACTCATCCCCAGAGCTGTGTTTCCTCCTCTGTAAAACAAGATTCAAATGACCGACTAGGTCCTTTTCTCAGTCTTAAAGTCTATGATTTGGGTTTTACTGCCCACACAGAGGCTGGAGGCTTTCAAAAAATTCTTCCAAGATATAGACTAGAGTACAAAAATTACGAGAGAGAGCAGGGGGACCAGCAGTTAGTGTAATGGCTATGTCACTGAACTCCCATGTAGCCGACCGTGGTTCGAGTCCCGGACCCGTTGGCTTAAACTCACGCCAGGTGCGTGTGCGTGCGTGCCCAAGATCTTGAGAGGAGAATGTAAGAGAAGGGATTGTGGTGTGGCCATCCCCCTGGGGGGTGATTTCTCGCTTTCTATCTCTCTGTCTCTCTCTGTCTTTCTGGCAAGCGCACGTGCCCTATAGCAAAAACCTCTCCGAAAAAAGAAGAAAAAAAGAAGTGAAACTTAAAAGCAATCATTAAAAGAAAAAAAGAGAGAGAGAGAGAGCAGGGCCGGCAGGTGGCACAGAGGTTAAGGCAGTTGGATCCCACATGGCCAACTTTGTAGTCCAAATCTTGGACCTGGTGCCTTGAAAATCATGCCCAGTGCATGAGTGTGCCCCAAATCCCAAGAGAATGGAGAAGAAGGGACTGCAGCACGGCTATCTGCCCCTAGGGCCTGCTTTCTCACTTTCCCTTTCTCTGTCTTCACTGAGCACACATGCCCTATAGTAAAACTACAAAGAAAAAAAGGGAGCAAGCACTAATTCTCTGGGCCAGCAGCATCAGCATCTGCATCACCAGGGAACTTGTCAGAAATGCAAATTCTTCAGCCAGCTGGTGGTAGGTGGTAGGCGGTAGCACCATACATGGGGCCAAGGCAGTTGGATTCCACAAGGCCGACTGTGTGGTCTGGGTCCTGGACCTGGAGGCTTGAAGAACATGCAGGCATGTGTGCACACCCACCTAGATCCCAACCAAGACTGGAAATGGAGAGGAAAGGATGTGGTGTGGCCGTCCCCCTCGGGTGCTTTCTCACCCCCACCCAGCCACGGTTCTCTAGCAATTAAAGAAAGGCAAATTCTCAGGCCTCATTTCAGATCCCTAAGAAAGTCTGGGGGTGGAGTCCAGCATCTGTGGTTTCGCAAGTCCTCCAGGAGATTCTGATGCAGGTCTAAGTGTGAAAACCACTTTCTAAGAAGTCAAGCACACATTGGTTTGAACCCCACCTTTATCACGTACTCGTTCGAGTTACCTTAAACAAGAGGTATAACCTCTCTCAGCATCAGTTCCCTCATTTAAAAAAAGGAGGGGGATAATAATACATACCTCAAAGGGACAGCGTGAAAATGAGGAGAAATGGGACCAGCAGTTAGCGTAATGGCTATGTTGCTGGACTCCCACGTAGTCGACCACAGTTCGAGTCCTGGACCCGGTGGCTTCAACTCACACCGGGTGCATGTGTATGCATGCCCAAGATCTTGAGAGGAGAATGGAGGAGAAGGGATTGTGGCGTGGTCATCCCCTCTGGGGGGTGATTTCTCACTTTCTGTTTCTCTGTTTCTCTCTCTCTTTTTGTCTGGCAAGCGCATGTACCTTTTGGAAAAAATCTCTCCAAAAAAAAAAAAAAAAGAAAATGAGAGGAAATAAGGCATATTCAGCATTTAGTGCATGGCATGCAAAAGGGTACTTTTTCTGTTGTTTTGTTTTGTTTTTAATTGCCAGAAGGTGTATGTGTTCGCCAGAGAGAGACTGGGAGAGAGGGAGAAAGTATCCCCAGTGGAATGCAGACGTAACATAAACCCTTCTCTGATTTCCTCAGCCTGTCGGGATTTGGGTCATACGTGTGCACTGCTTGCTTTTCAGACATCCAGGTCCAGGATTCGATCCATAGTCAGCTATGTGGGATTTGGTTCCCTTAGCCACTAGACTATGGGGTTGAACCAAAAAGTGTACTGTCAATGGGACTCCTTATTATTCAGTTTTTTTTGTTTTTCCTTTTTTTTTTTTTTTGAGAGAGATTTTTGCTATAGGGCCCGTGTGTCTGCCAGAAAGAGGGAGAGACAGAGAGAGGGAAAGTTAAAAATCACCCCCCCCAGGGGGTGAGGAGAATGGCCATGCCTCAATCCTTTGTCCTCCTTTCTCCTGTAGAGATTTTGGGCACCCACGCACATGCACCTGGAATGAGTTTCAAGCCACCAGGCCCAGGATTCAAACCATGGTTGGCCATGTGGGAGTCCAGCACCTTCTCTACACTACCTGCCAGCCCCCTGACTTGGTTATTTTTAAATTTTCTTATTCTTCAAGTGCTTGATTATTCAGGACTGATTGCAATATTATTTTACGATGATAAAATAACAGTGGCCGCTATACTCTGTCCTTCGTTTGGCTTCCTGTAGCTGGGGCTCTATACCTCTCACATTCTCATGCCCATGGTCTACCTTCCCCTTTCTTCATCTTACCTTTGACCTTGCACTCGTCTATCTGGTTTACCACTCCTGTGTCGTTCTCCTTCTCCGCTGGCCACTTATAGATGTACAAGCTTGTATGAGAAGAGCCTGCATCCAGCACGATCCCATACTGAGAATAAACAAACCAGACACTTGTTAAGTATCACAACATTGTTCTCCATATTCAACTTGCAACAGAAAGAGGACAAGGACAGCAATTCTCAAAAATATAAGAAAACTTTCTTTTTTTTTTTTTTTTATTAGAGATTTTAGCTACAGGGTGCATGCACTTGCCAGAGATACAGAGCAAGAGAGAGACAGAAAGCAAGAAATCACCCCTTGAGGGGGATGGCCATGCTGCAATCCCTTCTTCATTCTCCTCTCAGGATTTTGGGCACACAAGCATATGTCCCCAGCATGAGTTTCAAGAATCCAGGTCTGGGATTCAAACTGCAGTTTGCCACATGGAAATCCAGCACCTTAACCACTATGACACTTGCTGGCCCCAAGAATAAAGCATTTTAACTTGAGAGGAAAAGTAGGACCTGGGGCCAGCTGGATCAAACATGGCTGACTTCACAGTTCGAGTCCCAGATCTGGTGGCTTGAGGATTACACCAGAGGTGTGTAAATGTGTGTGCTCGAGGTCCCAAGAGGAGAATGGAGAGAGAGGATTGCGATGTGACCATCCCCCCCTAGGGAGTGCTTTCTCACTTTCCCTCTCTATGTCTCTCTCAGGCAAGCACATAGTCCCCATAGAAAAACTGAGGAAAAAAAGTGGGACCTGGAGTTATTACCCTAGTCACAAAATCTACCAGAAAAATCCCTTGAGAACAGGGCTCTTAACGCTAATTGCACATTAGAAATACTCTGGCCTTAGCCAGGGCCTGAGCATCAGTATTGTGCAGAAGCTTCTCGGTGATTCTAACATGCAGCCGAGATTTAGAAATACATGCTCAAGCAGTTGAGAGAGCATCAAAGAACTAGAAAACCATTAATCCAGGAGTCCCTACACTTACCTACGCATCGCCAATCACACCGGAGGCACCCGAAAGCTTCCAAAACAAAAACTACTGAAACCTGCATCTTGGCTTTGGGATTTCTATAAGATCCCATGTGCATTCTAATGTGCAGACTAAGAACCACTTAGTTAATTCACTGAGAGCCTCACAGATAATAATAAATGTCTTCATCTAATTTTAGTTCAATGGATGTGGAGTTTGTTTTAAAGAGAGACAGAAAGTACTAAGCACACTAGCTTTTTGATTACAAATGCAACTTTACGTGTATGTAATACCTTCTAAAAGATATGTACTTACACTTTATGCTTTCATAAGAGTAGGGCGAGGTGGAGAGAGAAGGAGCAACAGGGAAGCAATGACCACCCAGCTGGGGTTCATCAGCAGGGACCCTGCCTAGCCTTCAGTGGAAGAGGAGGGGTTGCTCCAGCCCACACACCACACAACACACGGTGCATGAAGTGGTCCTCTACCTCCCGTTCCACCTGTCCAGCTCTAGACATATTAGGAGCTGAAAGGTATGGGTATATAGGAAACAAATTCCTGAAGCCAGGAGGCTCTGGATAAATTCTTCCCCGCTAGCAGTAAACTCTGAAAACCTGAACCCAAAACTCCCACTGTGGATTCTCCACTCCCACCTGGAGTAGAAGAGGGAAAGTGACACAGAGCTAATTGTCACCTCAGGGAAGCACATGAGCACACAGCTACAGAAATACACTCCAAATAAGCAGGAAGCGGGAATATGTCACCAGATGACTAAAAATCGAAGCAGAGACGAAGAAACAGGAAAAACCAGGAACTACCTCCCCCTGAAAGGAACATAGTAACTCCTCAGCAACAATGGATAAAACATAGGAGAAATTAAATAATTTAAAAAAAAATCAGGATACTATACGAGAAATCCTAGACACCATTAAACAGTCAAAAAGCTGCATAATAGGTTTTCTGGAAAGCAAAGAGATAGTTAAAAACATAGAAAAATCTCTCTCATAATATATTAGCTAACAACAATCCAAATTTAGAGAGGCATACAGACATCCAAATCCAGGTGACAGAATGGACACCAAATAGATATAACATATAGAAGATCCTCTCCAAAGCATATCATAGCCTGATAAAAATCAAAGACAAAGACAATATTCTAAAGAGAGAGACACCAACTTATTTACAAAGGTTACCCCTTTAGAATAACAACAGATCTCACAACGGGAACAATGTAGGCAAGGAAAGAATGGGAAGACATATTCGAAACTCTGAAAGAAAAACAATTTCAGTCAAGAGTACTAGACCTGGCGAGATTATCCTTCAAATGGGAAAGAGAAATAAAATCATTCCTAGATAAACCAATGCTGAAAGAATTCACTAAAATTAAACCAGCTCTTCAGGAAACACTTAAAGGAATACTACACCAGGAAAACTAAAGGGAAATAAGTCAAAGTAAGAGAACACAAAACAGGCAAAAAAAAAAAAAAAAAAAAAAAAAGAGAACACAAAACAGGCAAAAAAAAAAAAAAATCAGAAACGAAATGACAGGAATAAGTCCACATATAACATTGAATGTCAGTGTTGAATTTCCCAAACTAAAAGCCTGAAAATTCAGATTCAACTATTTATTCACAAGCAGGTTTAAGTACGAATTCACTGAGGATTTGATAGAAAGTTGTCTCCACAGGTTTCCACTGGTATATTGGGTCACTGGAAAAATCACCACACATTTTTGCATAGAAAAAGCTGTCATGACGGTTCCAACAGCCCAGTATTTACTCTAACCATTACTTACTGTATAAAACGAGAGAACAGGGGAAAGTCCAAAGTGTTACAAGTGGCTGAGTCTCTCTTGGCAATGAACTTTAAAGAGGCTCACATCACGAACTTTGTAAAGCCTGAAAACCACCAAATCAAGGACTTCACCATGTCTTCATGTTGAAACATCTTTTGCCAATTTTGTTTTACTTCTGCTTTTTCGAGGCCTTTTTCTTTATGCCCAGTTCAATACTATGGTCTTACAAGAACTCTCAGGGAGTGAGTAAAAGTTTTCTTTTAATAGAAAAAGAAAATGAGCTGTTGTTATGTGCAATTTTACCCATCTCTAGCTGGACCGAAGATTGATACCACCGAGCTTTTCACAGTATAAACTCTCACCTCCCCCAAACATCTACATGAAAACTACAAATTTTTCTTTCGGGGGCTGTTAAGATGATCCTTGTTTTCAATAGCCCATCCTCATTCATTTATGAGATTTTTTTGGTTGTTGTCTGACTTTTAATCACTTTGTTCATTTAAAAAAAAAAACAAAACTGTATTTCACAGTAAAGAGCATCATTGACAATTCAATACATACTTCCAAAATAACCAGTAGAGCAAATTTCGAATGTTCACGACATAATGCAATGTTAGGTGTGGAAGGTGGTGAATATGTCATGTCCTTGATTTGTTTATTACACAGCATACACAAACTTTTAAAACCATGGTGTACCGTACAGAGATGTATAGCAAGTATATATAAATCATAAACTACAATGAATAGTTCTTTTTTAAAAGAAGGCTAAAAGAAAGAAAAGGGATACTTTCCCTTTCAGGCTGTTTCCTGTTCCTATTTTGTTTCCTGTTTTTCTCAGTACCACCCAACACTACTTGACCCTAGCAGTGGCTGGTGGTTCTGCAAAACTTGCAGCACTGGCTGCAGTTCATTCCAGTTTTGCAGAACCAACATCACTGTGCCCCCGCACAAGCCACAGCTGCAGCTGATGTGGCCTCTCTGGAAAGGTTAAGGTCCAGGCACCAGTCAGCACTGCGTGGCTTTCCTGAGGCAGCAACATCCTCCTCAGAAGTTTGAGTCTGAGCTCTTTGAGTTGCTCATGCAAGCTTCTACATTTAAAAAACCTTAACTCTGCCTTATGCTGGCAGCCTTACAGGTGCTTGGTTCTTTTCAGGTTTGAAGGAAAGAAGAGAAAGAGGAAAAAGAGAGGTGCAGCGGATGGCACAGGGGTTACGTAGCTGGATTCCCACATGGCGGAGCCCAGTTGAAATCTCAGACCTGGTGGCTTGAAAATCACACCAGGTGTGTGTGCGTGCATGCCCAAGATCCCAGGAGGAGAATGGAGAAGAAGAGATTGTGGCATGGCCATCCCCCCAAGGGGGTGATTCCTCACTTCCCCTCTTAACTATCTCTGTCTCTCTCTCTGGCGAGTGCACACACCTATCTCTGTCTCTTTCTCTGGCGAGTGCACACACCCTAAGGCAAAAAGCATTAAAAAAATAATAAAAGGGACTAGCAGCTGGCATAATGGCTATGTCACTCAACTCCCATGTAGTCGACTGTGGTTCAAGTCCCGGACCCGGTGGCTTAAACTCACGCAGGGCGCGTGAGCATGCCCAAGATCCCTAGAGGAGAATGGAGGAGAAGGGATTGCGGCGTGGCCATCCCCCCTGGAGGGTGATTTCTCGCTTTCTGTCTCTCTGTCTCTCTATAGCAGAAACCTCTCAAAAAAAAAAAAAAAAAAAAAAAAAAAAAAAAAAAAGAAAGACAATAGACAGCACGAGGAAGAACTAGACGGCCAGAGAAAATGGAGAACAGAGTTGCCATGTTGTATTTCATGAGTACTAGGCACGTGTGCATGAAGCATGTCATGTGAATTATCCGGCTTGACTTTCTAAACAGTGCTGTGAAGTAGGTACTATTTTATCTCTTCTGTATGGGTAAGAAACTAAATACAAGAGTTTGCACCATTTCCTCTAGATATACAGCCAAGAGTGAGAGAGCCTGCCTCTTCTACATGGGAACAAGGGCTGGATGATCATCTTCAAATTCCTGCTCCTTCTTCAGGACATTAAATGACGAGTAGCTCAGCAAAGTGTACAAATCGTAGGTTACACCTCCATGGATTCTTGCCTGCTGCACAGCCATATAACCACCACCAAAATCAAGAGACAGAATATTTTTCTAGGTCCCAGAAGACTTTCTGGGTGCCCCTCCCAGTCAGTTTCCCCAAGGTAAGCAGTGTCTTGCCATCACCATGGATGAGTTTTGCCTCTTCTTAACTGCAGTAAGTAAGGTTCACATGGCGTCTCCCCTGTGTCTCCAGCGTCTTTCACGGCGGTGTATTTGGGAG